AAATAAATAAATAAATAAAGAAATAGCAGCAGAAAGGTATAGAGGAACTCAGAGCAGAATTATCTTCTGAAATAAAAAAAAGTATCTCTGAATTCATAGCATCTGAGAAAAGAATCAAAACCAGAAACATATGGAGGAAATCCAATCTGAAAAAAAATTCTGCAGTAAAAGAATAACTGCTCCTTCCGCCACAGCAACCGTTGAAAAAGACCATGGCCCTCTGCTATCCCATGGCCGTGGGCCTCAACAAGGGCCACAAGGTGACTAAGAATGTGAGCAAACCGAGGCACAGCCGCTGCCACGGACGTCTCACCAAACACACCAAGTTCGTGCGGGACATGATCCGGGAGGTGTGCGGCTTCACCCCCTATAAGCGGCGTGCTATGGAGCTGCTCAAGGTCTCCAAGGACAAGCGCACCCTCAAGTTCATCAAGAAAAGGGTGGGGACACACATCCGCGCCAAGAGGAAGCGTGAGGAGCTGAGCAACGTGCTCGCCGCCATGAGGAAGGCAGCTGCCAAGAAGGACTGAGCCCCTCCGGAATAAAGCTTTGCAGAAAAAAAAAAAAAGAATAACTGCTTCTAAAGAAGATATTGATAAAAAAATAGAAGAGATTAGAAATATGACAGATTCCTTCACTTGATCTTAGCCAAAAGGCCAAGAAGTTATGACGGATTCCTTGAATGAGCAATACAGGAAAGAAATAGATCGCATGAAGCAGAGTCAAAGAGATACAGAGGAAATTAAACTCTCAATCACAAGCCTGCAAAACCGTCTGAGTGAAAGTGAAGACACAGTTCCAGATGTTGAAGATGCTGGTGCAGCTAGTGAAAAGGTAAGAAAGGATCTCTTAAAAACGAGGATGCAGGAAAAAATAACCCATCACCTGCAAGACAATGCAAAGATGAACAATGTGACTAACAGGTATCAATGAGAAAGAAGGAGTCAATACAAATGATATAAAAAGAATATGGGCAGAAGTAATAGCAAAAAACTTCCCAAATATGAGGAAACAAGCTGACATTCACGTAACTGAAGCATACAGAACTCCAAATAACTTGAACACAATTAAAAACACACCGAGACATACAACAGTCAAGATCCCAGAAATCCAGCACAATAATAATATATTGAAAGTTGCTAGAGAAAAGAAGGAGATCACATTCAAAGGAAAACCCATCAGAATAACGGCCGAATTCTCTTCACAAACCATGAAGGCAAGAAGAGCATGGAGCAGAGTACTTCAAGT